GGGAGTGACCTTCCAGTGTCACGTTGCGTTTCTCTGTAGTGGTTAATAGCCTCCAAAATCCTTGCTGTGGGACCTGGATGCCCTGTAAGTCCGAGGCTTTGAAATAGTGGTGATAAGAGCAAACAAGCACAGATTTCATCCCTCATAAATAGATTTGTGACTGCAACCCTGAAATCTCAGGGCCGATTTCTAACGTTCAGTAAATGACTAGTTCACAGAGTGTTCAGTGAGCAAAATGCAGGCTGCTTGCAAGCACCTTGAATGGTTGCTCAGCAGAAAATTAGCCCTGTTTTTCAGCAAGCCTCCCTCCCTGGCCTGTGTCAAGTGCCAGATCTCAATCAAGATGTACAAGGGATGGAGCATCTGTGGTAGGGAATCTTTGTGGAGCTCTGTCTGTCTGTCAGGGTGGATCAGTCTTGGGTTCCCAGCCACACACGCCAACTGCATTACAGACACTGCCATATTGACAGCAGCAGCAATGCTGAAAGCTGGGAGGACTCCAAGGCTGCACAGAGCAGCTCTGTGTCAAGTCCAATCCTTTCTGCTTCCCTGTTTCACGCTTAACAGCATCCTCTCCAAATTACGTGCGCACACATACAGAAGCACGAGCATGCTTCTTTAGTTGGAACTGATCCTGGACATGGGACTATGTTTCCTCAGAGAATGATTATGAAATTGTAATAAGGTGCATTAAAGGGGAAGCTCTTCCCCTTGATTCCTTCTTGCACTCTGCCCTTCTCCACCTCCCACATTGCTCAGCTGTTGGTTTTCATCCTGCCTGCCTGGAGGATCTGAGAGAGTTGGGAGCACCCAGGCTGGGGCCAGGAGCCATCTAACAGTTGGAGGCATCTGTTCTGCTGCAGCAATCACCACACCCGAGAGCTGCAAACATGTCCAGGAGACACTTTTATCATTGACACGGGGGAGAATTTAAATAGCTGCCATTCTCTTAAGCTAAACCAGAGACAGAATTGTGGATCACACTTTATGTAACTCATTTTTATTTTTGAACATGGTCTTTTATTTTCAAGGGGAATTCAACTCAGTGGGTGTCTCCTATCTCCTGCCCTATCTCATTAGCACATGAGATGAGGCTTCTTTTATCAATACCTCCCATCCAGCGTATCAGCTGCATGGTTTCCTCACCTACCCCTGAAACTCAAGCTCTCCTTGTTTCACCTCTCAGGATTTCCTGCCTACCTCAGCTGATGCAGAAAAGAATTTGAGATATAAGGTGAATAACCTCTTAAAAAATTGCTCTGTGCCACATCCATGGGTGCGTACTGATGGTACTAGAGCTCCTTTTTAAAAGGGGGAGCTGTTCTCGTGGTTCTCTTCATAAGTAAGACAGTCTGTAATTTGTTTTGCGGTTCAGGAGCCTGTCAATATTAGCTATAATTTCCTCTTGCCCAGACTGTCACCTTGTACTGGACCGAGTGTGTTTTACTGCAGATGCTCAGGCAGGCAGGCAGGCAGCCTTACTCAGTGACCAAGGCATTGCCTGTTAGCTGTCAGCTACCAGCGGTACTTTTAACTGTAACAATTTTCTTTCAGCTTGAATTACAAACAGTGATGGAGAATGGCAAGCTCTGGAGACAAATTAATGACTAACCTGAATAATCTTGGGCCTGGGCCCACATACATACCAGTCCAGCTTATGGATAAATTTTGAATGACAGTCTGTCAGAGGGAGACCAAGTGACGCTTTTTGTCATAAAGGCCCCCATGACTTTCGCATTGAATCAAAGGTGGTTGTTCATTCCAGTCCCCCAGCACCAAAACAGAAGCTCCTTTGGGTCACAGCAGAAGCTGCAGTGAGGCGAAGGCTTGTGGCTGAGCTGAACGCAGGCTTTGCGGTGTGCGGGTCACCTCAATTCCCTTCGGCAAGACGACAAGGTAGTAATTGAGGCAAGCCAGCACTTCAGTACAAACCCGCAGGCACCAGTCTCTCTGAGCAGTTCAGCTGTCTCTGTCCTGCTGGGAAGCAGTGACCACTGCCGCAAGTAGCCCTGTGTACTTGGTATTTTGCCGTCACAGAGCCTATAGCGCTTAGCTCCTTCCAAGAGAAATCACAGAGGCAACAGGGTCCCATGTAAACATACCAAAGAATGACTTCAGCTATGGGGATGTAGCTGTCAAACATCGCAATTGTTTGGAGAAGCACTTTTTTGGTGTTAGGAAAAAACCCACTTGGTCTAGCAAGTCATGAAGCCCAACCTCAAACAGGTTTCTTGCACTCCTAAAACGGAGAGAGGCTGGCACAGGACCAGCGAAGGTCACAAAGCAACAGCAAGCACGATCCCACGTAACTTCAAAACCCTTGTGGCATGGATCACTGTAAATATGACAAGGCCTCGAAGTCAGAAATGAAAAGTGGAAGCGACAGCGAGGGACTCAGCGCGATGAGTACTTAAGCATAAGTGGAGTCCCAGAGAGGCAAGCAGACCCTCAAGGAAATAAAGCAAGAGCGAGAAGACAGGGTGAAGGAGATTATCTAAGGCTAACTGCTGGAATGTCGGCCAAGCAAATACGCTAGTTAGTGATGACGCTCTCTGTGCCAGCCGCAAGCTGGCTATGGTGAGGCCCACCGTTGTCTTTGAGAAGGGTGGTCAGCTGCCAGCTACAGGAGGAGCATCTCTAACTGGAGAGGCAAAAGCCACATAGTTAGTGGCCAGAGCTGCCTTCCTGGGCCTCCTGGAAGTCTCAGAAGCAAGGGCAGGCCATAGTGGAAGGAATAGATTCCTTGATTTTTATCCAGCAATTGGGTGGCAGTAGCTATGACTAAGTGAAATCAGTGGAGGTGTTTGGTCTGGAAGAAGTTTTTGGGTAAAAACCACTGGAATGGCAATCAGTAGGGGCATGGACAAAATGTGTGGAATAAGCAGGGAGGCAGCAAAAATAATAGGGTGAAATTAGGGTGAGGATGAGGGGAGATAAGATTAATGTCCAAGCTGGCAAATTCCCTTCCACCCGGTCCAGTGACAGCCAACAATCGCAATGCTGTGTGTTTGCTATTAGTAGGTCATGCGGAAATTGCTTTTAAATATTTCTTAGAGATTTACAATTTTGGATGAGATTCAAACCTAATATCAAAATGGGTTATTTTATTAAATGCTTTTAAACAGAAGCTACAGAGTAGTCAGAAACATGAGGGCCTTGTTAGAAGGAATTTGCTATAAACCTCTTCTCCTACCTCACAGAAGCTTTCTAAAATATTACCCTTTAAAGTGTAATTCTCTTTATCTGCAATTTAATTACATTTCCCCTAGTGCCTGTGTCAACACAGCACACTTACTTTGTTCCCAGTTAGCTCAAACCTGGCCTGGGAAAGTAAAAGAAGGAAATAGTAATTTTCAAAGTCATTTATGGGCTGCTCCAGAACCTTTTCACCCCGAGAAATGAGTGTACTAAGATAGTGGAGTAACAGGGACTGGAGTCTCTGCCCGAACTGGTGATGGTGATGAGCTAGCAGCATGTAAAACTAGGATAAAAGCAGGAGACACGGTGTTTACGTGGTTTTTTTGGTTTATCCCGTCCAGAGTTAGTCAATTAGAGATTTTGATTTGTTTCAGACTGAAGCAAAGTCCACAGATCCGAGTAATGGACCAGAATTACTTAAACTAGAATTTTGTTGACTGAACATTTTGTTGAAACCCCATTTGCCCCCAGTATCTGGCTGTGTGTGTGTGCGTGTGAACATGAATGAATGAGATCTGAGGTATGTCCTGGAAGTATTACAAAAATACAGTGTCACTCATGACACCCTGCAGGTGCCCGGAGAAAATGTGAAAGTACGGAAATGCACGTTAAAAGTTAAACCCTCGGTAATGTTATATTGAATTTGGCTTGGGTTCGGGGCAAGGGCTGAAGCTGATTGTTATTTAACTTGAACAAACTAGCCTGGTGTACCAGAGGCATAAGATGAACCTCAACCTTTGACCTTGGCTGAGAGGAGATTCTATCAGCCCTTGCATTTCTTCAGATGTTGTCTTTTGATAACCAGAGACATGATTAATCTGAGTCAGGATGACCTGGGGTGTTGTGATGGGAGAATGAGAACAAGGCAAGTAATTTCCTTGCTAAGTTGTGCAGTGAAGGATTGGATCCAAGCTGAAGAGCTGGGGTCATTCCCGCAGTGCTAGTAATCTCTGTATTTTCTCAATAATTTTTATAGGACTCTGTCTTTCCCCAGGGATATTGCCAAATGATAATGTGCTTTCTCAAGGTAGACTTCCTGTTACTGCACAAGGGTATCAGGCCTGGCGCTGTTTTAGTGAAAAAGAGGCAAGTGTCCACAAGTTTTCAGAAAGCAGACAGGGAAAAGCAGTGGGAGAGAAGAGTAATGACTTGTTTAACTGCAGAAGACGTTTTAACCTTTTCTGAAGATCGGAGTTAAGATACTGTGGGAGCTCAGGGGAAATGGGATAAAACTGGTTGACACAGCTTTACAGAGGAGTCAATGTGGCAAAAGGGTCACCAACCCTCACTGCTAGCCAGGAAGCAGAGGTGCCACGTCATGCGGCCGGTGCCCAGCCAGGCTGGGGGCTGTGACCACAGCATGGCCTGGCACCCCAGGGCTAGCAATGGAGATCGCATGGCTGGGCCCCTTCAAAGGTGAGCCACCCACGTAAGTATCTGGTGCTTCTGCAGTCTCCAGTGAAATTCATGTGATGGGTTACTGACGGCTGAGCCAAGCCCAAAGCGGGGGGTGGTGCTGCAGCCCCACCCCGGGCATGCATGTGGAAGCTGCCCTACATCCTGTGCCCAGGGGTCTAGGTGCAGAAGGAAAAGGGAATGAGAGCCTGTAGCCTGTATTGCAGGGTGAGCAAACTGGGGGAAGTTGCAGGGAGCCTGCCGGGGGGCGGGGAGCAAGCAGGGCTGCAAACATCAGGTGAGAGACGGGGAGGCAGATAAAAGGGGTTAGTCGCATCGCTCGCTCACCAGGTGGATTCTTGCTTCTTTCGTCCCGTGTCCTATAATAAGGTGCCTCCTTTGCCTGTTAACGATTTTATTTGGTCACGCTGCCCCTGGGGCTCTTTAATTAAACTCCCCAGCCCCTTGTGTCTGTAGCAACTCTCAATGATCAGTGATCTGAGGGCAGGAACCTTCCCTGAACCTCAGAGGAATTGATTAAAATGATGCAGGCTGATGCTTTATTCCAGCGTACTGAGAGCGACAACGGCAAGGGCTTTACAGGCATTCCCCTCTGCCTGTTCCCTGCTGGTGTTTGGCAGCTGCCGTCGGTGCTGAGCCGTAGCCCATCTCAAGCGGGTGGAGGCTGCGGGATTTGTGAGCAGGTTCGCACGGAGGTGGGTGCTGAAGGATGCAGCGAAACGTGCTGATCAGGTGGGCTCTTCGGCTGTGCCACCAATGAGCTGTGTGAGCCGGCTCCGCAGCAGAGCCGAGCCCCAGCCTGCCGGGTTAGGCTGCTTTAGTGCTCGCTGGATGTGACACGGAGCTGCTCTGAGCTATGCTGCTGCCCAGGGAGAGGTGGGGAGGGGAGGTGTGTTGAAATGTGACTTTCACCCCGTGCGGGGGGTTGTCTCTTAAGAGACTACTCTGCTCTCTCCCCAGAGCCTCTCTGACTACACTGTTGGCAAAGACCCACCAGGAGAGAAGACAAGTCAAAGGCAGTGAGTATCTTTTCTCTATTTCTGTCTGTCTGCAGTGCCTCTGTGTTCAATTTATCTGGCTTTATTGCATGCGAATGGATGGTCTTAATCTCTTGAAGCCCCTTAGATCTCTTGTGTTTTACACCTTTGGGCTGCTAATTTTTTCTCTTGGGATGGCTGCTTTACCTTTGCTCAGGTGATTTCCTGGGGCGGTTTGATAATCTGGATGTCATAATGAAAACACCCCCCTCCCTTTCCTTCTCCCAAGGAGAAACCCCAAAACACATCCATGATGAGAATGGCGATTCCCCCTGACCAGGGGCCCTTTCATAGGAGGGGGAGGTAGGATGAATGATCAAGTGTGAAGGAAAACCCTTACCACGGACCCCTGCTGGAATGCCTTTACTGACCCACAGATTATATTTCTAAAGTCATAAATGACTGGCTTTGTTTGCCACCAAAGGGAGTACAGGGGGTATGGAGCCCAGCAGTGGGACTGCCTTCACGGGAAGTGTGGGTCTCTGCATCCACGAAGTCGGACAGACTTTGGGACCGTGGGGAAGTTCACTGCTGCTCAGCTGCGCAGGTTATTGTTGTGCGGGCCGCTGAGCGGGTGGGAGGGCAGACGAGCAGCGAGCCGTTTTGTAACGGTACCCCGAAGAGCAGGCTACTAGAGGGGACTCTGAGGGACAAGGAGCCCAGCGGGCGCCCAGCTCTGCTTCCTGTGGCTAGCGCAGTGCAGGCAGTGTGGCAATGGGAAAGAGGAGTAGGGGTTACTGGACTCCAGGAGATCACGGGCTGTGGCCTCACATGTGGGTGAGACTGTTAATGAGAAAATTTGAAGGGGCTTAAGGAATTATAAGGATTGGTTTCAGTTAAAGCACAGCAAAGCAGCCGGTCAGGGTGGGGATTAAGAAATGCACTCACTGGCATGCAGTGCAATCCCAGTTCCATTAATTTAGTTGGGAAGAGGCTTTGTGCATTTTTAATGTAATCAGGTTTTAGAATGGATGTCGTGTTGGGCAGCCCGAGCTGTGGGATCTCCCCAGGCTCGAGGAGAACAGGGACCTGGCTCCTCTGCACACAGTCTCTTCTCTTACCGGTTTCTTTGCCTCCTCTTCAGTGTTTCCTCTGGGCAAGAGGACATGGAGGTTATCTGGAACTTGGCCCTATCCTGACAAGTAGGAAACATTTGTGCTGTATTCACTATACAAACATCTTGGTCCTGCTCTCTGTCCCATCGGCCTCTTGGCTAGTGGCCTTTGCCTTCGTTGTCTGATGTGAGATTAACTCAACCAGCTGGCTATGTGCCAAGGCCGACGAGGACCCTGACACCCCTCTGTCCCTTTTTCCTTCCCCCCATCTTTCCAGACCATGAATCTCCATTGTGGCTTCCCACAGGCTCCCACCACCCAGAAGAGGAAATGCTTTAAGTTATTTTTGTGTGAGTGTTTGAGCCTGTGATAGTAAAAGGACCAGCATCTGCAGACGCGTGAAGTCCTCCTGTTATTTTATTTGCAGTGCCAGCTTTTCCATGATGCCTGGCCGGTAACATCAGCCATGACCTGGAGGGACAGGGACAAGAGGTAGTTTGATCCTCTTAGCGAGGGCAGTCCGGAGCTCTGCCTGTTGAGGAGAGACCTCCAGAGGTGTTGAATGATGAGTACGATAATGTCAACTCCTGCTGCTCTGTGGTGAGCTGTGACGCCAAACTCAAATCACTTTATACGTGCAGCTGGACTTAACCCACGGTTCTGGTCTTAGAAGGAAATGCTGTCTCTCCTGTATGGTCATCCCTCAACTCTGAACGTCTTCTGTTGAAAAATCGACCTTCCACTCTAGGCGGAGAGGATCAAATGGGTTGAGAGCAACTGGCCCTTCTTTTTTGCGGAGGATCCTTTGATGTATTTTTAAGTGCCAGGACACGAAACAGTAAATCCCTCCTTCCCGCACTCCTATCTTCTGAAAACAGCCCCGACTGCTATCCAAGCCAGCCAGTTAAAGGGTTAACTATAACTGGATGCCTGAATGGCTGCCTTACTGATCCCGCGGAGGTAACTGAAAAGACATGATGCATTCCTCACCCCTGCCCATCCTGTCACCATCTACCTCGTCCAGTGAGCCTTTAAGTTCACTGCAGTGTCCCCTCTTCCCTCCTGCCCTTGCCTTGCCTTGCCTCTCCACCTCCCGCAGACCTGGTTTCTTTTCCTTTCCTTCTCCCGTGTCCTGTCTTGGAAGTCATCATGACCTAGAGATCAGTGTTCCATGAGAGACAAGCGCCTTTCTTATGCCGCAGCATCTCTGTCTCCCTTATACTGTGATTCCCTGCTGCAGTCCCTTGATCTCAGACATCAGAGAGAAATCTGAGCAGCATTGCGGTAATGCATGTCACACCTCTTGCTGAGAAATTTGTGAGCTTGCTAGAACAAACAGTGTAGGGAGGATAAAGGTTGGGGGCTGGGGGCATCGGGAAAGGTACCAGAAAGATCATATAGTGTGAGGGTTTGAGTGGAGCAGCTCCAACACATTCAGCTAGGAAGATGACACTTTGCCCACGCTATTTCTGCACTGATGTTTCAAGTTTATGTAGCATTTCATCCTCAGACCACTGGTCATGGGTCTATATTTTGAGGCTGTCCAACACTTTGTGCAACTAAAGCTTTCAAGGTTTTGTTCCTTTTAAATGCTGTGAGCTGTCAGTGCTGCACCAGGGAGAAACTCATTGCATTTAATTAACATTTAATTTGCTTTAAGATTACATGAAAATGTGCAATAATAGAAACTATCTGAAGGGCGGGAGGAGAAGGGGGGAAACAGGCGTGCTACACGTTGGCTCAGTGACTAGCACTGAAGTGTTCTGTAAGAATTACATATGGAAGGGAAAAATACTGTGCTTTCCTCTGCAGTCACAGAAAGCATTTGCCGTCTGTTTGGAGCTAGAGCTCAGGAAAGGGCTTCTTCCAGCTCAGAAGCGGGTCCAGCAGTGGAAAAGTGCAGGCTTGGTTATTGAGTTCTCCTCCCATGACCAGGAGAGCGCGGCCCTCTTTGATGTTGTGAGGAATCTAGTAGAAGTGATGCCCTTAGGCTGGAGAGGCAAATAACAGACTATGCTCTTCTTCCAGACACCACGTAAAGCCATTAACCAGCATCTGTATGTCTTTGAGAGGAGACAATGCCAGTCCAGTCTAATGCATGTGTGTTACATTTCCCTCTTCCTTTGTGTTTCCCCTCTTGCCAAGTCTTCCCAGTCTGACTGTTATGTAATGAGTGATGCTGTGTGTGCATTGTCCGTCCCACGAAGGGGCTGGCAAGGACATGAGGGGTCTGCAGAGGAGCGAAGGCTCTGGGACTATTTTAAAATTTAGAGGAAAAAGCAATAAAGCCATTTTCTGCATGGATAAACCTGTCATGAAAGAGACAATTTTAGTCTGCTTATGTAACCCTGAGTCTACAGAAGCCATCCAGGATCCCAGCTGGCCTCTCAGGGCTCTGCAGCTCAGGCTCGTATGTGCAGGTGCCTTGCTCCCTCTCCTCTTCCACCAGCCCCTTCCTGTTCTCGTGCACTGGTGTTTGTGCTGTTCTGGTGCTACTGGATCGCGGTGACTGATTGCAGCCGGTATTGCAGCCCTTTGCTATCCTCACACGCCTCCCCGGAGCAGAGCTTTCCAAGAAACCGTCCCAAAGCACAGCCTTCCAAACCTCATCGCCAGTCAGACCAGTTGAAAGACTGGTCTGGGTGAGCTTTTAGCTGCTCTGGGGCTGTGTTTGTCCTTAGTGTTTGCTTAGCATCGGAGATGTTTCAGGGTCCCTGAAGCATCACAGAAGAGGGAACCGGAGATGCAGGTTTGATGAGGTGCAGAGCCACTGAGGTCTTTTTTTGTGACTCTGGCTAGATTGATAATCATCTTCTTTGGTTTTCCCCTGCTCACACCCCTGCTCCCCCACATCGACCACAGGAACAGAGGGATGAGGACTCGCCTGGGCTGCCTGTCTCACAAATCAGACTCATATAATGATTTCACAGCTATTCTTCCGGACAAGCCCAACCGGGCTTTGAAGTGAGTATAGCTGCAGCATCCCACCCCATCCCCGTTTCTGTCCTTCCTTTCCCTGCCCACCTACCCCCTCTACTTCTATTATCTTCCTTCTATTGTACTTTGTATAGGCTTTAAACTCTAGTTCTTGTAGCCATGAGGAAGAAGGAAAGCACAACAAAGTTGATACAGCAGCAACTCTCTTAGAAAATAGCCAGATCACTGATACTAGTTCATCCCTGAGACAGAACATGCATAGTCTCTCCACTGCTGTACATGGGACGTGTCTGCACATATCTGAGGAGAGTTACCCCTCTATAATTGCAAATCAAACTCTGAGCAGTTGACTCTGTGTAAAGAGGTGACCAGCAATTTCAAGTCATTGCCCTCCTTCGCTAAATCTTATTATTAAACATTACCAATATGTCTTATGTTAGTTCACACAACACATAGGGAAGATACTTTGGATGTTCCAGATTCCTGATTTGAGATGAGTGGGATGGATATGTTTGATCACAAGTTGCTGCTTACATCTGAGCTAAGCATCTAAACTTCCCCTTAAAGTCAGGAGAGAGAAATAAGGACTTCTGCAGGGGTGGGTTTCATCTCACTTAACTTTTGACATCACAGTATAAATGCCTGCATCTGAACTTGTTCCCTGGGACGCCGTTTAGAGTCAATGAGGAAAAATTGGCCCCTTTTAGGGTGATTCATCTGGCCTATTTTACCCGCCTACTTCAGGATGAGGTTAACAGAACCCTTTGTATCTCCTCACTGACTCTAAAGGGAGCCCAGGGTGACTTGCTCACCTGGAGACCTTTTACACTGTAGACATCCGAAGTTAGGTGAGAAGATTTCCAGTCTTGGTATCCCTGTCAAACAGCCCCACTGGGGACTGGCAGCCATGGGTGGTCTGCAATTTGTTTGTCTCTTCCTTTCTTTCAGAAGACTATCAACAGAAGAGGCCACAAGATGGGCAGATTCTTTTGATGTCCTTTTGTCCCACAAATGTGAGTAGAGATCATATTCTACCTTTTGTTCCCTACAGCCCAAATACCGATCATAGCTAGGGCAAGTGAAGCATGCGCTCCGGAGCACAGGAATGGTCCCTCGGGACCTTCCGTCTTTGCTTACTACCCACTAGGCAGCGGTCACAGTAATTTGCAGGAAGGTGTTGTCTTCTGGTTAGAAGGTGGGGAGAGAGCTTGTGTGGGTTCCCTTCCTGGCTTTGCTCTTGACTGACTGGGTGATCGCAACTGACAAGTCGTATGAAATCAAGCAATGGCCTTCTCCAAATCCCGTGGGTGCACTGGACGCCTCACTGCTAGTAGGCAGAGGTTCTCCTAACCGTTCTGCGACGCCAAGGCTATATCGATGTGTAGCATACCTTGGCAGGTGCCCCTGGGTTTAGTCTTTCCCCAGAGCAAATGGCAGGCTCTCTGCTTGCTAAAGCTGCCTGGGATTCATGACACCAGCTAGTTTCCCAGGCCCTCTCCCTCCAGCTGCTCTTCTGAGCTGCCATGCAACTGCATGCTGCTACAGGGCAACGATATGCTGTAGGAAGTGGTGGAGAGTTTCCCCCGGGACACCTTTTGTGCCACTCATCACTCCGCTGAAGTTATGCTGATGGCCGCTAGTGTTTTACCTTCACATTTGGAAAGGTTAGGTAAGTTTAAAAAAAATAAAAATAAATCCTATTCCTATCAATATGATCCACTTGCAGAATGTTCTAATTCCAGCCAACACAGCAGCTGAAATTCTCAAAGCCATCTAGTGAATCTGGCAGACTGTTCCTGTTAATTTTAGTGGAAAATCTGGTAGGTAGTTCAGTAACCTTGAACAACTTGCTCTGTAGCAGTCCTCACCAGAGAAACCATGCTTGGTAGCACTTAGTAGGATATAATTTACAGTTACCAAGGCAAACGTGAAAGTTTCACATCCAGAAACCCGATGCAAACATATAATCACCACACTGTATTCCACTCAATGGATCAGTTCTGTTAGAAAATATTATTTTGCTTTGCTAACATATTCACGCTGAGAAATTATAAACAAGATAGCAAAGTTCACAGTATAGATTCATTAATGTATTTCTATTAGAGAATAAAGCAGGAGCGAGTCAAGGCTGGGGAGATGTCCGCGTGGGTGGTGAACTATTTTATTGCAGTAAGGAACTGACTGACTTTCTTATCCGTTCAGGTTTTTCTGCATTTATTTTAAAATGTAAGTGTTGAATTATATTATTATTTTAAATAAAATGTAATTTTCCTGGATTTCTACTGAAATGACAACAGTTTTGGCAGGGGATTAACTGACGACTTTAAACAGGCTGGCTGTCCTAGGCAGAAAAAGCAAGGTATAATTTTAGCAGCAGTATTTTGTTGAGATCATTGCTCTTGCAGCTAGTGAAAAAAGATGTTTTTCAGGGTACAGTCGATAGGGAACATTTATTTTGTCAAAATTCAAAAAGAGAAGTGAAAAACACGCCAAAGTCACTAGGATGCCTGGGGGGTGGGAAATGGGAGTAGACAGGGTACTCACATCAGTGTTACAGTTCTCCCTCTGAACTTGAACGCCTATTCCTCCAGTAGTGTAAAAGTCAAAACTTTCCTTATTAGATACAGACCACAGCAGAAGTGCTTCAATTATAAAAGCTGGTGAAGTTGCACATCTGTATATTGAAGCTATGCAGATTGTTCCTCTTCAGCTGACTGCTGCAAATGAAACCTTAGTACAATTACTTCATCCAACAGCCACCGCAAAGAATATTTGTTTTATTAATAAATTAGCGCTGTAGAGTGATAGGTGAAATATCAATATTTTTCTTGTCTCTAGAAAGGGAAGTAATTCTCATAACACTCTGGCACCTGATGAAAAATACTCAGTTCCTAATAGCAACAGAGAGGATTTTTAAAATTTAAATTAATCTTTTTTTTTTTTAACAGCAGTCACAGTGACATTATCTGGTGATCAGTGACAAAAACTTGTTGTTTAATAAACCACTTTCTAAAGGAATACATCACATCTGCTCTTCACCTGAAGTTTCTGGAATTGCTAGGTTGACAGTCAAAGCCTGCGTTTGGTAATAACGATGCACGTGCAAACAGCTCTGTTCAAACAGACGATGTTAATTTAATTAATTGGTTTAAAGGACATAAGAGCATGTATATACATGAAAGGAATTATCTTCTAAAATTATTGCATTATGTGTACTTGCATCCAAAATACAGAAAAGTTGCCAAAGATCTGTTATGAAAGCAGAACAAAACATATCTGTGTTTCTCACTATCAGAAATATGTGCTAACGAATGTGTACTTACATTAGGCGGGTAAAGGAGCCGTGTGCCGTGCCTGACCAAAATTTTAGAGTAAGAAAAGCAGTGCCTGGCTGCCTTCACCTGCCTGTAGTGAAAGCTGCCAGCTAATATCTTCTATCTAGGAGAGGATAGAACCATATCAGTGTAATTTCTCCAGGACTGTGCAGGTGAACAATATTAGCCAGGGAAAATTTCAATACATGCTTCGGGGCACAGGCTAAGCACCAGCTGGGCTTAGGGAGAATTTCCCCTGTGGCTGATAACATTAGCAGGTAGAGTGTTTCTACTTGACACATCTGTCATAAACTCCTTCACTAGATGGACAGTTTCCATCTATTTTGGAAGGGAGATTGCTATGCTGATTTCAGGGAGTTAAGAGTCTGGCACACTCTGTCACAGTCAATGTTACAGTGGTTTTGGTTTCCTTTCCATCAATCTGTTATTTGGGAAAAACAAAGTGCGCAAGTAAGATTCAGGAGCTGGCTACGGCAGCAGAAAATGGGGCAGTCCCTGTGGGGAATACCGCAAGGGGTTGGACAGATGCAAAAAAGTGCTCCAAGGAGCAAGAAGGTGGATCAGAGCTCCCTAAAAGACTCTGAAGTGCCAAGGTGTGCAGGCTGCTCTTGTACATGGAGGTTCACACCGCTGCCATAGTCTTCAAGAAAGACAAACAACTTTTACTCTTCCGGTTCTTGTTTCTGTGAGTCTCCAAATGGAGGTGATCTGATCAGGTACTGTGCATTGTACATACTCTATGGACAGCGTGAACTTGCTCATTTTTGTCACGTATCCCCTGAAGCGTGCTGGCCCTGTGATCCTATTGCTTTAATGAATGAACTCTATAGTAAAGTTTGATCCTGACCTGCTATTTTCTGGTAGCATCTTGAGTGGAGTATTGAAAAACCCTTGGTTTCGAAGCAGCCTTATGTCTCCAGAGGTCTCAGGCTGGACAGTGTCCTTCTGTATACAGTGGTCTAATTCAGATTGTTTAGTATTCAGATCAGTCTCCTGCACAACAGGCACCTTCCTTTCCTACTGGCACTGGGATTTCGGCATCCCTCAGTCTAACGCTGCTAGTGTAACTAATGCTGAATTGCAGGATGCAGCCCGGCTCAGCCTCATTGATGGTCTCAGAAGAACAGGTCAATGCAATGAAATCCTCTTTGCTTTTGCTAATGGCTGAAGCAAATCAACTTGAAACCATAGGGCCAGCCAGTCAGTCCCCATTCTGCAGCAGAACCTTTGCTGGAGCTGATTGCGAGAGGCCCGGCACAGCACAGCAGTATTCCCTTGGGTCAGGGCTGCTGAGCATGGCACGCAGCAGGAGAAAGGAGTTCGATCCCACTTCAGAGCGGGGAATTGAGAAAGCAAGAGACCGGATTGTGTGTAGCATGCATTCTTGGGTGCTCAGGGATCAAAAGGCGTGGTTTTAACATGCTAGGTTTTTGGCATCTTTTCCCATTTTGTGCCAGTGCAGATTAGCAGTGGCTCCCAGGGATCTGGAGCACAGTGTGGTCTGCAGAGGGTGTGCGCTTGCATGTGAGTAACAGAGGAGTAATCCCTGCTCTGTACCCGTGCCCAGGAGGTGCAGTCTGGTCAGCCAGATGGAGATTTCTTTTGACAGGCTGCTAGAGGGAAATACAGGCAATGGCATGTCTCATTCCGTATCCCTCGCAGGGCTGGACACATGGCTTGTCATTTGTCCAGAATCCAGCAGGACAGTCTGTCCTCAGCCCTTAGTCAGTTTTCGGTGAAGCATCAGACGTGGAAAACCTTTGTGCTGAATTTCCGTTTTTTGTCTTGATGGTTGTTTTTCCCCTCCGCTGTCTTTTGCGATCTCTGTACTCTCCTGCCTAAATTTTATTGTCCTCCTCCTCTCTCTGTTGTCTACACACTGCTCCTCTTCCCACGTAGCACAGGAATATGCCATCCTACTCCTGATTCTTTCTAAGCCAGAACAGCATTAGCATTAGCATTGTGCTAGTGACAGGCAGCTAACGTTCACCAAAGCAATGCTAAGCAGCAGTGAGAGCATATACGTGTGCTGTACAGAGCATTGTGGTCTTGTCTCTTCAGCCCTGGACCCAGCATGCTCCATACAGCTAATCCATTCATCTACGAGCCACAAGGAGTCTATCTTTATTTCCTGCATAAAGTGCCGATTGCCCTGATAGTGTGAGATACATGCATTAAATAAATGTTGTTGATAGCTTTCTCACTGACATTGGCTAGCTGTTTGGTTATGAGACTGCCTAAATGATTTAAACTACTAATCTCAGCTCTTCCTCGTGTTGCTGAGGTGCATCTTAACTAAGACCTGTGTTGTGCTTGCCAGTTAAGTCCCTTCCTCCATAGCCTTTCTTTCTGTAAAGCATCAACTCTCCCTGGCCTGAATGACAACGTTTGAACTGGATGTCAGGAACATCTGAGTCCTGATCCTTATGTAGTCAGTCATTGGTCTGCTTGACAGTTTATAAAACACAAATTCTAGCATTTGTCTTATACACAGGTGAGCTGTAGGGTTATATCTGTACATGGCACTGCAAATCTTGTGATGTACAAGTATTTCTAGATAACCCCAATCCTTCCCAACAGTCCTCTCTTGTGCATTCCCTTGGTCTGTTTGAACGGACAGCAGGGCATGGTCCTTTTGAGCCTTATATTTACACTGCAAAAGTAAAAGGCAAATATCTCCTGCTCCTCTTACAGGTTGTGATGTTCCCACTCAGTAGAAGAGCTCTGTATTTTCCCCTTCCTCCTGTCTGCTCCATCAGTAGTGATTTATTCCTTTGGCTTCAAGCAAAGCTCACTGCTCTTTGGGGTCAAACTCCTGAATAAGTGACTGATAGCTGTCTTAAAGGGCCATGCATCTAAAGCAGTATATCTCTGTTTTCTTGAATGGTCATACCTTTAGGCTATGTATTTTGGGGATATCCTGTGCCACATCTGAAGACTTCTGGTCCTGCTTTTCATTTCTGTGCTTTCTCTGTAACCCGTCTGTTTGGAATCACACTTCTCCGGATGCTCCGTGTATCTTCCAGGATATTTCAGGAGGTTGACAGTAGATGATATCTTCTGTTTATATTGCATTGCAACCCGGTTTTGGTTGTCCTGCATTGCAAAAAAGCTGTCCTTTTTGGGTGAGATGAACTTTGAAATGCTGATCCTGATCGTTCATGATTGATGCTCCCTTGATAGCCTTTGTGTGTACGAGAAGATTAAAGTCTACATCCAGGTCAAATTCCAGTTCAGGTGCTGGCTGTCCTCACACCTACCTGCCCTCCCGACCTTTCAGTTGTATTTGTCATTGTTCCATGATAAACTGATGGGCAGCACAGCAGTGTGGCACTGATTTACTGCCAACGCCGTCGTCTGGTCTCCTGAGGCTGAACTCTGGCTGCCCAGGCACAGCTGTAAATACTGGCAAGCAGTCAAAGGCTAAAGGCGCATCTGCGTAAAGCAGAGAAACCTCGAGTTAAGAATGACCTCCCCTGCATCCCAGGCCTTCCTGTAAGGTTCTCCCAGATCTGGCCCGATCACTTCCAGCCCTGAAAGGCTGTGAGGAGGGCAGGACGGGAATGTATAAAGAAGTAGATCATAGCCAAATGCTATTATTTCTCTATCCCCTATCTAAACTTACTTTAAAATAAAAAGCAGCTGATTGATGTGAGAGCAGGAGGCAGATCACATGGAGACCTCCTGGCCCCAGCTGCTGTGACTGCTCTGGGCTGCTCTGGACTGCTCTGCGCTGAAGCAAAGACCTTTTTCACCCCATCAGTCATGAAGAAGTCCATTTCTTCTAGCAGATATTATTTTCTGTAGATACTATGTTTGCCACGCAAAGCTGCTATTTCTGGCGAGTGTTTCTCTGTCAGTGCTGGGGCTCGGGGGCTGTCATAAAGGAAAGGGCAGAAAAAGGTCAGAACAGAGAAAGGAAGACAAGACCTCTGCAGGGACTTGCAGCAGAGATTTTATAGTCTTAACAGTATATTTGGGTGCTAGAGTACGTAACGTCAGACGTTGTAGGAGCTGATGATACGCAAAATGGTATACATCTTGGGGAATCACTGCTCTTTCACTTTCATACTCTTTTCCTTCTGAAATCTGTCAGTCCACCATGATGTCCCTCCCTTTTCTTCCTGTAAAGACCCCTGGGTCTGTTCTCAAGTCCTCCCCCTGCTTCCCTGCAGGCCCTATGAATTTAATAGGCATTAAATAGTGGAGGGGACACAGGTTTTGCAATATCTTTGTATCTCCTAGATTTTGGGAAGTGGAGCAGACCTAAAATATTTCTCTCTTCTACCTTATTTATGTACCCATGGAGATGCTCCAGACAGCCAGGGGCAGCATGCTCCTTGTAGGTACTCTGCTCCTGGAGGTGCCTTTGGTACTCTCTGCTCCACAGGCTTGTGCAGGGCTTTTAGCCCCAGTCTTGAATTTACAGTTTGCACTGTTAACTGCTCTGCGGTGCTCATGGACAAGAGCCCTGGCTTTGCCCTGCCCACAGTAGCGGTCAGAAACCCTGATCGTCTCCTGCAGATGCATTAATTAAGAAGTTTTGGGATGAGCTGGTGTGATGCAGCTATTCCTTGTCCTCCAGGGGCTGGCAAGAAGCAGCAAGCTGAGGCAGGGGCATGCCCATTTTAGTTACTGATTGCTGTACCGCATCAGCTCTTTGCAACGCAGTGCGTTGGTGAGCAGTTAGCATTGCGGAGCCCATCAGTGACAAGGAGCTGTGAGAAACCTAAATGGGAGGGTTTTAGCCAATAGGTTGGTCCTGCCTGGCCTAACGTCTCTTCTGTCTCTCCCTTTGAAAATCTGAAAAATGTCCACTGACTTAGGGACAGAAACAGGACTGTCAGTTGCTGTTCCTGTACATGGGGAAATTTCTCAGGCCTGAGGCTCAAGACCTAGAACTGAAAAATATCCTCATGTCCTAAAATATCAGCAGAATCAAGAGAGGAGCAAGAATAAGATCAGCACACAGAGAGAAGAAGATACAGAGCTTATATGTGTGTGGGTGGCTATACATGCACACGCTGCTGGCGGGCACAGTCCCCAGTGGTTGCTCTGTGCTTTTCAACGGTATAGTTAGTATTTCTTCCTTTCAAGGAGTGCTGGAGTTTGAGCAGCTGTATCACCAGCTGAACTTTGTGTTGACTGCACAGGGGCAGAGCAGAGAGTCCCCCAGTTTGTTTTTCCATCTCTACCGGTGGCAGTAACAGAGGCCTGGGGAGGAGGAAGAGATCCCGAGCAGGCCAGAACAAGCTGCTCTCTGTATGTCCTTGTGGCATCCAAACCATGGTGCAGGGATTTCCTGAGCCAGGTGTTGCACCCAGACCACTACGTTCAAAAGCTGCGTGCGGACCTGTCCTCTGTGAACGTGGGGTAGTCCCCAGCCCCTTGCAGCATTGCGGGAGGAATTTAAGTCCTACCAACCCTCCTCAGCCTTTGCCCGTCTCTGCCACGCACACTCACAGAGGCGTGTGCACACTTGCTCCTTTCATCTTTTCGGTGCGAGTGAGCTTGCTGAGCGTGTTCCTAATTCCATAAATATTTTTGGAGACTAACTTGGAAATAGCTAACGCTAACTCAGAAGGTTTCCATGTTATGAACTACAAATACTCGGACCCTATAGAAAAAATACTAGGAAAAGTTAGAAACATGTTACTGGAAATAAATTAAGAGCTAAATTCATCCCTACAGTAAGGGAGGGAGGAAGGGCACGTGTAAAACCTTCAGCTATGTCAACTCTGCTTGTGCCATTCAAGGAAAGGAAATGAAAAACAATAGCTGTGTCCATAAATACGCCTAGGCTGAGGTTTAGGAACTTATAGATTTCCTAGCGATTTTTTCCATATTTGTGATCTGCCCTGGCTGACTCAGATTACATTACTGAAATGTCACAATTGCTAAGCATTAACAAGTGATAAGACGACTTTTCTTACTAACTAGACAAGTAGTAATTAGGCCGTGTCCTTTCCCTCTCTCCTTTGTTGTAGCTGTAACCGTTAGACTCTCTAAGATCCTTCCTGTGTATAAACAAGAACTGGAGTTATGTCTTGAGGCGATAAAGTGAAGTGACAGAAACATAAGACGACAAGTCTACAGAAGCTATGTTTTATCAAAGTTTTCTCTTAATGACAAATGGGACATTACAAAGCAGGGCATTAACAAGCACGGAGATGCTATGGCAAAGAGAACGTATTATTAAAGTTTGGCGTTTTCAAGAGGAACTTTTCAAAGGTTAGATAACCCAATCCTAAAGAAGCCTTTTCCTATGTTAGCTGGCAAAACACTGACTGTTTTTAAAAACAGCGGCAAATGATGTTTGGTGCTTCTCCATTGGCTTCGTGGCAGCTCACAAGACTGCAGCTGATTAACTGTGCAAGTTACAGACGAGTCCTGGGATTGCAAACTGTGCTGTGTCTGTCGCAGAGGTGGTGAGAAGAATCAAATGGCCTTTGGTAGTCAGGGCTGGAAGGAGGGATACCCATTAGGCAGACTGTCCTCCCTGTCCTCCCCCTGCAACTCCTGGTGTCTCCCTTGCAGATGGTCTGGCTGCTTTCCGTGCTTTCCTGAAGACAGAGTTCAGCGAGGAGAACCTGGAGTTCTGGCTTGCCTGTGAGGACTTCAAGAAGACCCGGTCAGCAGCCAAACTGGCATCCAAGGCCCAGCGAATCTTTGAGGAGTTTATTGATGTGCAAGCTCCTCGAGAGGTTGGTAGGCAAAGGCCCCAGGGAGGCAGAGCATCCTTCTGGTGCAGGGAACAGGGCCATCTGTCCCCAGCTGGGGCCTGGGGAGGGTGGAGGTGGGGGTTGTGGCAGCTCTCTCTTCCTTCCCAGAGGTGATGGTGAGAAGCTGGTAAGGAGGAGAACGCTTCCTGTTACAGGAACGCTGTCCTGTCTGCTGCAGCTGTCTCTGCTTGCACTGACTCATCCCCTAGCTAGGGCAACTACTTTGACGATACTTAGTTAGTCATAGCCAGTGAGTTCCCTGGCTACTGCAGCCTACGTCTCCTAACCTCCACCAGCTTCCTAGTAGGATTTCACCTTGATCCTCTCGTCTACTGTCAATCCCCAAGCAGGCTGTTGGGCTCATTTCTCACAGGACATTTTGTATAAGAACATCCCACGAATGACTAACTTGTTGACTCTCCAGGGAAGAGTGTTTATCTGCTGACTAACACTAAACTCAATTAGACCTCCTAAAAGATGCAAGCGATAACTCAGAGCTGAACAAAAAGTGCAGTCACAACTGGAAGCCTGGAATTGTTAAGTCCTCTTTAAAGCACTGACAGCCTGATGCTATTGTCGGGTCCTGTGTCGTGCGTTACCACGTTAGTAACGCAACCAGGAGGTCGTTCGGTGGCTCTCCTCTGTACACCGACTCTCCCGCAGTGGTTGTCTAGCTAAATAGCATGGGTGCTTATCATGCTACAGGTGCCTGTAAGGGGATCCCTGTGAGAGGGCTGTCTTTCCTCTATGTTTGAGCTGGCAAGGCTTCTGCAGGGCCAGTGCAAGTACCCAGATTTACACCTGCTGTTGTGGGTGTCTCAGGGCACGGCTCGATCCCCAGAGCCCTCAGTGACCATTTTCCTGTCGCTTTTGGTGAATGCTGGATGAGATTTTCAGAACGTCAGGACAGAAGTTGGCCTGGATTAGAACTGTGAGTGCAGGTTGATTGGATCTTTCCTAAAATGGGGTCCTATTGTCATAACTTTCGCATGCTAGAACATGAAATGACCTGTAAGTGACACAGAAAGCTGATCTGTATTGCCATCATCTGAGTTAAGGCAAACAGCTTTACTTTCTAGACTGCTTTAAATTTGGGCGCTGGGATAATAATGACAAATAACATCATCTCAGCCAA